TAACTGTCATCGTCATAGTTGTACACGCGGCAAAGTTCTTCCGGATGGTGAACATGCAAAAGTGTTTTATTCAAAGCTCTCTAATTTTACGTCCCATTTTTGATCTTCCTAGGTAATGTGAATGGTATGGATGGTATAGCATAAGGGTTATACTACTATTTTAATTTCAATTTTTTTTCCAAGTCAATTCTGAGAAAATCAATCATGATTGTTCAGAGCTAATTTTGAAAAATAGTGTAACTTTGGGTGACCCTTTGGTATACAAAATTTGAAAATGATATTGAGCAATGTGCCTCTTCGTATTTCCATTCAAAATCTTTAAAATGTTCTAAAAAGAACGAAAATTGGACATTTTTAGGGCGTGCCTTAAACTTATGATCGGGAGTGTATTCAATTGAGCAAAAGTGCCTCACTCTATGAGTTAGTCTCGTTGTCCGTGCACACGTAAATACAGGGATTTTTTGTTCTAGACCCCTCGATAAGACATTTTGAAATTAACCTTAAATGAAAGGGAGACTCTAAACATGCATTTGATGAAGCTTCAGCGATATTGATCTTTTAAGATAATGTTTCCCAGCTGAGATACGTGTTACCACTAATTTATCAGAGGTATACAAGTGAAACGACTCAACCCAATTTATGTATAAACAAATCTGCATGAAAATCTTCACCAGTAAAATAAATCCAGAATATATTTGTCTTATCCCACTAAGGCTGAAGTTAATTGTATTTTTAATTTATAATATTTGATATGCGAGAATTTCCCGCCAAGTTTTGAGAAATTTCTGTCATAAGCCAAAAGATCTTTATCTCCTTAACAGCTTTGCCAAATACAGTAAATTTCTAGCTTTTCAGGATCTGGAGATATTATGTATGCAAATATTTCACGTATATCCTAGCGCCGCGTAGTGAGAAAATTCTGTACTGTCGACCAAGGAAAAAATTTTGATCTCCTGGACAACATTGCCGATGACAGTTTAGCAGGTCTCGAAATATATCTAATGCAAGAATTAGATAGCGCAAAGATGTGAAAAAAAAATTGATTTTCTGTCCATCAGCCAAAAGGCCTTGGCTCCCTAAACAACTTTGCTGAAGACAGAAACATTCTATTCGGTCAGGATCTCGTGAAATTTTATATGTGGAAATTTCACGTGTATACTAGCGCCGCTTAGGAAATTCTCAACTATTGTACACCAAGTAATAGGCTTTGACCTCCTGAACAACTATCTCGAGATATTTTATATGAGAATTTCACGTGTGTTCTAGCGCCGCGTAGCGAGAAACTTCTGAACTACTGTCCACCAGCCAAAAATACTTGACCCCCTGAACAAGTTTGCCGAAGACAGTAACTTTCTATCTGGTCAGGATCTCGAGCTGTTATATATGCGGAAATTGCACGTTTATACTAGTGTCACGTAGTGAGAATTTTCTGAACTTCTCCATCAACGAAAGATTATTTATTATTATTATTTATCTTTATTAGGGAGACTTTCAGCCTTGGGCTGGTTCGCCTCCAATTTTTCAACGAAAGATCTTGACTTCATGAAAAACTTTGCCGAAGACAGTGACTTTCTATCTGGTCAGAATCTCGAGATATTTTATATGAGAATTTCACGTGTATAATAGCGCCGCGTATTGAGAAATTTTGAATTATTGTGCACCAAGACATAGGCTTTGATCTCATCAACAACTTTGTCGACGACAGTAGCTTTCTATCTGGTCATGATCTCGAGATATATCACATGCGAGAATTTCACATGTATTCTAGAGCTACGTAGTGAGAAAATTCTGAACTACTCTCCATCCACCATCAAAAACCTTATGATCTCTAGAACAACTTTGCCGAAGACAGTAACTTTCTATCTTTTCAGGATCTCGAGATTTTCCATGTTGTAACCAATTAAGTCAAATCCCACGTAGTACGGACACCGTTTACCCGTTTTCCATTCACATTATCCGCATTTTTTGGGCGTTAACTGTGATAAAAGTGTAGCTTGTTTAGTTAAAAACAAGTTTTTTAAGGAATACCCCTTGGTTTCAGATCGATTGGTAGCTCGGCTGCATAATGACAATGGAAAACCCACACTGTTGTACAAAGTACAACGCGCGAGTACTCGTGTTACAAAAGTTGGCGCGAGTAACGGAAGGTTAAATTCGTGTTCGATGAATAACTTGCGAGAGTTATGTTTGTTTGTCAGTGGTTCCATCATTCTCTTGTTTTCTTGGAAAATTTTGCGTTCTTTGGTTGATGCTGTTTGCGAAAATTATCGCTGCTTTTGTAACGTTTAATTGACATCATCATCAAAGCATTGGTTGGATCAAAGTCAACTCCCACCTTAATTGATTTCTTTTACGATGAACGATGAATGGGGGAGTAACCTTCGACTAACAGAAAGTATTTTAAGCTGAAGTTGAACCGATTCGTTAAATCTGGCCCTCGATGACGATGTTGCGAGCACAAGCTGACTGCAGCCGAGTAAAACCTCACCACAACCAACAGAACCTCATTGTATTACACGGCATATGTCACAAAGCACATGCAGTCTGACATCTTAATTTCCTCCCACTTGTAGCTGGGTGAAACCTTGGTGGTGAGCTAAAACAGTGACCAGAACAAGCAACTCGTAGTCTCACTCCCACACACGCGCTAAAGGGCGAACACGAAATTATTGCGACACCGAAAATGTCATGCCAATTTTCTTATAATGTTTAGAATCAAACCAAAATTTTAGGGTAGTTTTATACATATATTTACTTCAAAAATCAAAAGAAAAGTTAAAAAGTAAAATTGAACGCATTTACGCTTGATACCCTCCATCAAAGTCTTTACAGTGTCATCCGGTACCAGTTTCTTAGTTTTTTTTTTCCATTTTCTTAACATGTCCTCCTCGTCTTTGACTGTCTTCTTGCTCTTCCGAAGTTCCCGCTTCATTATTGCCCAGTACTGCTCCACCGGGCACAGCTCCGGACAGTTTGGCGGATTTATGTCCTTTGGAACAAAATGGACAGAATTGGCCTCATACCACTCCAGGACACTTTTAGAATAGTGGCATGATGCCAAATCTGGCCAAAATAGCGGAGCTTCGTCGTGCTGCTGCAAGAACGGCAAAAGGCGCTTCTCGAGGCACTCAGATTTGTAGATCTCGCCATTTACTGTGCCCTTTGTCACGAAAGGCTCACTCCTCAGTCCGCAAGAGCAGATGGCCTGCCAAATGAGATATTTGGAGGCGAACTTCGACATTTTTTTCTTCTTAAATTTGTCGTCCACATCGAACTTGCTCTTGCCGGTGAAAAACTCCAACCCCGGAATTTGCTTAAAATCGGCTTTTATATACGTTTCGTCGTCCATCACACAGCAGCCATATTTTGTCAGCATCTTCTCGTAGAGCTTCCGTGCCCGAGTTTTAGCCGTCGATTGTTGCCGCTCATCGCGGTTTGGGAAGTTCTGTACCTTGTATATATGTAGTCCAGCTCTCTTCTTTGCATTCTGAACGTAGCTCTGCGACATGCCAATCTTTTTAGCCAAATCACGGCTTGAGACGTTGGGATTTGCTTTAATCATCCGCTTCACCTTTCCCTCCGTCTTTTTGTTCTCCGGTCCCGGTTTTCTTCCAGCTCCTTTGCCGTGGTCCAACGTCAACCGCTCCTGGAACCGCTTCAACACTCTGGAGACGGTTGAATGGTGAATGTTCAACATTTTTCCCAACTGCCGGTGCGACAGGTCAGGAAATTCCAGGTGTTTGGAAAGAATTTGTTCTCTCAACTCGCGTTGGTTCACCTCCATTTTCGTTGAATCGAAAAACACGACTTCGAGTTTGACAGCATGTACACAATACACATCAATGAGAAAGTGTGCAAAATTTGGTTGATTTTTACCCAATGGTAAAAACGTTATGCCCTGTTGAATGTGTTGCAATAATTTCGTGTTCGCCCTTTATTTATGCTGAAGCTGTTGCAATAAAATCCTTTTCGAAGCCATCCAGAAAGTAGGTACCGTAAAGATTCGACATTCGGACACTTGTTCCATAAATTCGGACACTTTCAAAAGATGATTATCACTGCCAACCATGCTCAAAATAGCACGGAAATATTGTCATAGTCTTACAGTATCGTTCTGAAAATAATAAATTAAATGTCTTTAATAATGGACCGTCCGGTATTCGGTGCATTACAGTATAGGAAAAATACGCTTTAACCGAGATCCGATGCTGTTATCGTGTTTCGTGCATTTTCATTCAACACTCTGAATACGAAACCGGTGGGTAACATGGACGCATCTAATCCTTGAATGGTGTGTGTGAGAGAGAAAAAGTAATCGCGTATTATACGCGATAAGCGGAAACCAACTAAACGGGATGTGTTATTAATTCGCCTCAAATGCAGTTGCATTTAAGGTGGGACGATTTTCAATTTATTGAAACCTAACTTGCTGATTACGAACGCGAAACGACAACAACATGGATGCGGACTGCCTTTAGCCTAGCTCTAGCAAGTAAATTTTCGGTCGTAAAGCTCCGGATTCAATAATCTGTCTGATCGATGATTTTTTCGAATTGTATATTTAAGAGTACGATTACAAAAAGGTATAGGCCTAAGAATCTTCCAATTAACAACTGTACATATATTCAAACAATATTCAGCAGCCAATAACTGCAGACCGTTGCGTTGCAATGCGTGGATGGAAACCATGCGGGCACGGTCGCATATTTCTACTGACTTTTGCTAATTACAAGCTGACTAAGACTAAGTAAACAAGACCGCTTTTGTGCTGAAAAAAAAAATAACGAACAAAATGTGTCACTTCACATAATGCAATTTCCTTTCCGATTCACAAAAATAGAAACGCTCATTTAAAACGTGCTCAACTTGCATTATTTCCTAATTACCCTATCCCGACCTCGGACAATCTTCGCCCACGCACACAAAGCAATCAGTAGAAAAAAATCATTCGAAAAAAAAAAATAGAAACATATTTAACTTTTCCCATTTATCCCCCACAGACTACGACCAGCAGCGAGCCGACGAGTTCGACTTGGCATTCCCAGAAGTGCCACCGTCGTCGTCGGCGTCGGCCGAAATGGAAAACGAAATCGACGGTAGTCCTCTGTTTGCGGCATTGGCGCCCGCTGCTGAAAGCAAAAAACCCTCCCCGCCATCGTCGCCATCGTCGTCGTCGTCGTCGTCAGCATCTTCCCCATCGACGAGCGGCAATAATAACAATCACAACAACGGCGAGAGTTTCGATCTGATAAGGGAAAGCTTGGAGCGCATCAAAGAGGAAGAAGACATCGATATCAAATCGGGACTGTTGATGAGGCTTCTGGAGCAAATGCCCGAGGGACCGTTACCGGTCGTGTATATTGAAGATTCAACCGGAAAGGGAGCTGAGGATGGGACCGACGGCGATACTGGCATCGTGGTGGAAGGAGAAGACCAATTGACCGGCAATGGCAATAAGCGATCCGGACGGTACTACCGGAGGTATCCGTGGAAGAGACAAAACTCCAGGAGTCGGACGTGAGTATAGGCCACTTGCTTTGGGGAGATTAATATTTATTGGATGGAGAGGCATTTCATGTCATGATGTCTAAACCTGGGAGTCAGCATGTTTTTGTTTTGTGTTCGAATTTATTTCAATTAATGAAGAGCTTTTTCAGTGTGCTGATTTATTTCCTATTAATTCCATTTAAATTGCTTATCTTTTGACAGATACGCGTATTTCGTCTACTACTTGCAGACTTCATCGGTGCCAAGTACTCAATTGATTTTGCATAACTAAAACGGTCCATCAGAATATTTTTTGACATTTACTACCAATAGATACTGCTTTCTGGAAAATATTAAAAAAAAATTGAATATTACTGGTGATGTAAACATCCATGCGTGTAAACTTGCATTTCTTTTCAGGCAAACAAGGAGCTTGCAAGAAATATTTCGTGCAAAAATTGAAGGTTCATATAATATTTTAAATTTCATGAAATATCCCATAACTTGACACGATCTATAATGTTAACTTGTATGATTTATTACGCTCACTCATTACACTACTCTCAATTATGATTTAATTATAATAAATTCGACCGTATTTTCAATCGTGTGATCTCAAATAACAACCAAATTTATCTAAAAAACAGAAAAAAAAAACTCAAAAAATAGGTGGTGGTATTGATATTTCTATATATTGATCCTAAATGATGACATAATCAAAAAAAAGTTTTAAATCACGTGAAAACAGAATTGACTGTACTTTTTTCGAAATGTGTACAGTCATTGCTGTTTTTGACGTAGGATTACGTCTGTAATTTTTATATGAGGTTACACTTTGTGAAAACCGAAAATTGAACATGTAGCAAAATTATGAAAGATTTTGAACGTTAATAACTCAGCTGCCCCTGGACCAATTTCAATTATTTTATCACCAATCGATCAGAAATATGTCTACGCATCAATAGCAATATCCTTACTGTTGATTTTTAACAAGAAACCTATTGAAAAGGTAGTAAATGTCAAGCATTGTCCAAAAGTGTCGAAATAACAAACAAATTCACCAATTATTTATTTTTCACACAAAATTCTCTCCAGAGTTGTAATCTTGTAAACAAACTCTGAAGCAGGGGTGCAAGTGATTTTGATCAATTTTCTTCATCGACTTTCTGTTTTGTTAATAACTCGACGGCAAACACATTCATTGATACGTTTGTTGTTGTGGATGATAGAAGAGCATAGCAGAAATAGTACGAAATAAGTTAGTGCAGCAGCCGGCGCCGGTGGTGTAGTGGTAAGCGTGACTGCTTTCTAACACCCCGATGGGTCTGGGTTCAATCCCAGCCGAGGTCGGTGGGATTTTTCTGAGGCATAAAAATCTCTGGTCACGTCTTCCTTCGGAAGGGAAGTAAAGCCGTTAGTCCCGGCCCAGCATCGCACCGCTCTTGATTCTTGGGTTACACTTGCTGGTTCCAATTCTGCTGTTCGACATTTTCCATGGACCACAAAAAAACATAAAATTAAACTATTTTCTAGGGATGCCTAAAAGTCCAATTATTCGATTAACGATTAATCGTGAAGATTTTTCCAGCTATTCGATTACATATTTATCGAATTTTCAATTATTCGAGCCCATAACCGACATCTCTTCTTACTTCTGCTCGTTCGATTTAGCGCAGTAGATAAAATAAATAAAAGTACTAATTTATCTGAACAGGCATAGACAAAAATCATGACGTAAAACAGGATCATAAATCCGCCGAAAAAAATGTTAAGCGTCTTTGTGCTAACGGCTAAGATTTACCAACTTGTTGAGAGAAGGAGTTTAACGAGAAAAACTAAAAAATGGAGCAGCTCTAGCTGGGTGGACACTGATATTCTGTGGCCTTACAACCTGTCGCAGACACCAGTTCAACCCCTGTCCAGCAGCAGACGGGCCGAGACTCTTGTGAGTGCCCAATAGACTGATGCAAATTTTGACATTTTCGGTCCACAGTGCTCAAACGGTTCCAAATCGGGTCCTGATTAGTCTCCCAAAATTTTAACTCATTTGAAAAGAAACTGACTTGGCACAAACCATTTGAAGTTTATATGGAAATTACTATGGGAAATCCAAACTTTTTGTTCATTGTCTTCTTACCTTTTTCCATATGGCACTGTTCAAAAATTCAAAAGCTATACTTATGGAAAATTTTCTCAGCTTCAACTTAGCAGAATATAGTTGTTGAGCCAAACGTCAAATAAAATAGTTATTAATTGTTTAAGAGATTGATAATCTTATGGCATGATCAAGCCGCTGTTTTGTGAGCAACACTGTATCTTGCAGTGTGACATAGTAGCCATGACTTTTGTGCTCTATTCCAAGCGCCAGAAACACCAATGTTGCCTGCTAAACAGTTGATTGAGCATAATCGTAAGACATTAGTGGCTTGAATTATTTGTAACTTTTGATGATTACATTATATTGAAAAGTGGTTCAGCACAAAGTTGTAGCTGAGAAAATTTTCTACGAGCTCAGTTATCTTTGTTTAAAGCAGAGCGATATGGTAAATTGTTAGATGGATATGAACAAAACATTTGGTTTTCCTATAGTAATTTCCATATAAACTTCAAATGGTTTGTGCCAAGTCAGTTTCTTTTCAAATGAGTTCAAATTTTGGGAGACTAATCAGGACCCGATTTGGAACCGTTTGACCACTGTGGAGCGAAAATGTCAAAATTTGCATCAGTCTAGTGCCCAATCATTGAACCGATGAATATGATATTGTCCGCTCCGATTTGCTGATCCAGCTGCAACCAAGATTTCCCAAAAGAGTTAAATTTCTGAAGATCATTCAAATTAAAATCATATCAAAAAGTTCTAGTTGTACACTAAAGAGTATAAACAGAGAGAACCCCGCTCAAATTCCTATTCCTACACAAAACACAAGATCCTGCTGCAGTTAACAAATAATATTTATTATATAAGACCACGTAGTCCTACGTCACCATTGCGTACAACCCCATAGGGTTGTATCTTGTAGTTTTTGGATCTAAAAGGGGATTTTGAAATAATTTGCAGGTCCTTATTGTTACAATCAATCAAGCGCTTTGGAGTTTCAAGTACTGCAAATAAATGGTTTGAAAGCTATTTGTATGACAGAACTCAACGCACTGTTTTTAATGATCCTGTTTCCAATACCATGGAGACTAACCTTGGAGTGCCCCAGGGAAGTGTATTAAGGCTTCTTTTATTTATAATGTATATCATGCGACGTGTTTTACGATTTTGCGACATTAATTTTTTTTTTTTTTTTTTTTTTTTTAACTCTTTATTTGTTCCAAATTCAAAATAAATTACATTTCATTTTTAACCTAGGTGCTCCAGTTACTACAGTAACTTACCAGCCTTAATTGTTATGATATATATCTAAGTGTTTTTACATTGTTCCTGTCTTGGCAATTCAGTATTTTAAACAGGTTTTTTAAACCTGCATGTCAGTATAACAATTGATAGCTTAAAACTAAATAACTAAAACTAAATCTTATCTAAGTATAAAGGGAATTAATCGTTGCAATTGAGGATTGTAACGATTTTTGCCGGAAATTATTAATTATTTTGTTGGACATTTGTGCTAAAGTCTCAACATTCGAAATTCTATGTACTTCGGTAGTACTGTACTAGGGAGGCAACTTCAAAATCATCTTCAGAATTTTGTTCTGAATCCTTTGAAGTGCTTTTTTCCTGGTAGTGCAACAACTAGACCATATTGGCACAGCGTAAAGCATGGCCGGTCTAAAAACTTGTTTAAATATTAGAAGTTTATTCGTCAGGCAAAGTTTGGATTTCCTGTTAGTAAGAGGATACAAACATTTTATATATTTGTTACATTTGGCTTGAATGCCCTCAATGTGATCTTTAAAAGTTAATTTTTGGTCAAGTATTAATCCAAGATATATCACTTGGTTTGACCAGGAAATTGGAACTCCGTTCATAGTGACTATGTGACTACTACTAGGTTTCAAAAACGAAGCTCTAGGCTTATGTGGAAATATTATAAGTTGAGTTTTGGACGCGTTGGGATAAATCTTCCATTTTTGTAAATAAGAAGAGAAAATATCTCAACTTTTCTGTAGTCTGCTGCAAATAACACGAAGACTTCTTCCTTTAGCGGAAATGCCTGTGTCATCAGCGAACAAAGATTTGTGGCAACCCTGAGGCAAATCAGGGAGGTCCGAAGTGAAAATGTTATGCAATATAGGCCCGAGAATGCTACCCTGAGGAACTCCTGCTCTAAGAGGTAGTCGATTAGATTTGGAATTTTGATAATTTACCTGCAGAGTTCTGTCAGTTAAATAATTTTGAACTAATTTCATAATGTAAAGTGGAAAATTAAACTTTTTCAATTTAGCAATCAAACCTTCATGCCAAACACTGTCGAATGCTTTTTCTATGTCTAGAAGAGCAACTCCAGTTGAGTGGCCTTCAGATTTGTTTGAACGAATTAAATTGGTAACTCTCAAGAGTTGATGAGTAGTTGAATGCCCATGGCGAAATCCAAACTGCTCATCTGCAAAAATTGAGTTCGTATTGATGTGAAGCATCATTCTATTCAAAATTATTTTTTCAAAAAGTTTACTTATTGAAGAAAGCAAACTTATTGGACGGTAGCTAGAAGCTTCAGCTGGATTTTTATCCGGCTTCAAAATTGGAACAACTTTTGCATTTTTCCATTTATCAGGAAAGTATGCCAAATGGAAACATCTGTTAAATAATTTTACCAGGAAAGACAAGGTACTCTCTGGGAGTTTTTTGATGAGGATATAGAAAATTCCATCATCACCTGGAGCTTTCATATTTTGAAATTTTTTAGTTATAGACCTTACTTCGTCCAAATCAGTCCCCCAGGAATCATCAAAAATATTTTCCCGAGAGAAAATATTCCGAAAATCCCGAGCAACCTGATTCTCAATAGGACTAGTAAGACCCAAACTGAAATTATGGGAACTCTCGAATTGCTTAGCAAGTTTCTGAGCTTTTTCCAAATTTGTGA